CCCCGTTTATTCCTCCTCCCCCTTTTATTCCTCAGAGTACATGGTAACTGAGTTAATGTTTATCCCCCGGGTGAACGGCCTGCCGTAAAGAACAACAATTATTAATTAATTAGTGAAGAATTTCAAAACGGGAAAAACAAAGTAACGGAATTTCTAAGATGATGAGCATACTTTAGTCAGTTCATAATAATATTCGTGTGTGCCAATAACGCCCCGAAAACATAGCAATCTGCTTCTATAGTGAGTAGGTGGGGAAAAGACTCTCCCTTTAATAACTTTAACACGAAAGTATAAAACAGTACCCCTTCTAAAACGTTTAAGTCGAACCTTTTAACGAGCTCAGATCAAAGGAAGCAATATATGCCTCTGTGTATCCAAAGTATGTCTGCACTTTTAGTTGTTTGTAACAACAGCAGAAAACCGTAACCAAAGTTGACATATTATTATGCTAAAATTCCTTTCGACAAAACTAGTGTCATGCAACCATCTTTCCTGCTTTTCTAATTGTGAGCTCCCTAGATCTTTTTTTTGTTTGAATGAAGAGAAAATGGAGCACATCGACAAAAATAACAGCGCCGGGGAAAAATCAAAGACAGAAAGACTAAAACTTCGGAGAGTAAAGAAGTTGGACCTACCACTGGCGCCCTTCAGCCGCGTGCAAGTCTTGGGTTAGCTAAATAGAGTTATACTCAAACCTGTAGTCGTTTTGTGAATCTTCCTTGCTCGTTTGGCGGAAGGTTTGAAAAAGATAGCTGGCCCGTCAAAAGGGAAACATAAATTTATTATAATTGACACGACTATTTACAACAAGTTCATACCAGAACTGTCAGATGGGCGATCAAATATTATGGCCAGCCTGCAAACACCACAAAATGTCTCTACATTTTTGCGTTTTGTTCGCACAAGACCACCGTTAATGGTAGAATTCTATTTGTTTCCCATCGTTGTTTCTGTTTTTATGGCAGCGCAAAATTCCACCTCCAAAGGCTGTACGTTGCAGCATATAGATTCCAGATGTAACCAGTCTAGAATACGCACTAAATAGTCGTTGATACGCGTATTCAAGTTTTCCCTTGACGGTCTGAACGCGCTGTAATTCCATTATTGATTATTGTGCCAAGTTTTCTTTCTTATTTCCTTTCTTTCTTTTTTGTTTCTTTCCATTTACAGAAGCAAAAAGCTGGACAACGTTGCACCTTCAATGGATCCCTCCCACAACCTTGGGTACCGCATGACGACGACATCACAGGCAAACGATGTCCGTGAAGCGTTTCCCGCCAAAAACATGTCTGTCTCGGGCCCGAGGAACTTCTGCTCGTCGGACAACGCCACCTTCAACAGCTCCAACGTTTCGACGTGTGACCAGAATGTTTCATCCCCTATTTTAATGTTGTCTCTCGGAGTCATTGGGAATATCCTCGCCCTATTAGTCCTGTATTCCTCCAAGCGGGAGGTGAGTGAGTTGTCAGGGTGATACGGCAGGGAATTTTTTTTTCTTTTCTTTATTCTTCTGCTACAAATGAAAGAGACAGACACACACACACACACACACACACACACACACACACACACACACACACACA